GTAGGGCTCGGGTGTCATCGGAATCGATACCAAACCTAATCTCATTCGCCGTCTCGTTCTCGAGGCTAACATTAGGCAAAAACTTCTGTATAAACGGCTTAAACGTGTCGGTCTTGAACTCGTCCGACTTGGCGATCCTCAGGTGATACCCGCCCGCGTAGGCCCTCTTCAGGAACACGGATGTCCCGCAACAGATCACTTTCCCCTGAGACATGATGGCGATCCGGTCCCCTAACACGTCCGCCTCCTCCATCCAGTGGGTGGACAGCATAATGAGCCGCTCCTTACGTATGGAGAGTAGGAAGTCCCAGACCCCCCGGCGCGCCTCGGGGTCCAGGCCACTGGTGGGCTCGTCCAGGATTAGGATCTTTGTGTTGTTTATCATAGCCATACCTACGGGTGCGAGTGTCAGGCGGGGAAGGGGTTATGTATTAGTAAATGCCATTTTTGTGAGTGTTTAGTAAAATGTTTTTGTTTTTTTAGTTTAATATTTAAATAACTTTGATAGATGTTTGACTAGATAAGTTTAGTTTTTAAATTTTTTAAATTGCTTTTAACATAGCAACTTGCTATTAGCAAGTTTAATTTGTCTAACATAGTACAGTATTGTATATTTATTTAAATGTTTTATAATAATATTGAAACTATATTTATAATAATCAAGAATATTTTCACGCTAGCAAAATAATTATATATATCTTAACATTTCTAACTAACCATGGTGTAATTTCGATATAAAGTAATATAATAGCATTTAATATTGCAAAATTCAAATATCAAATAATCAAAACCTAGATTATAATTAAAATAAAAAGTTTTCATACACCAATCTATACTTCTAAAACTAACACCAACACACTACCTAGGTAATATAATCAACAACAAAACACATACCCAACGACAGTCGCCTTTTCATACCACCGGACAGATCCGCGGACAGCACCCGGCGCTTAAAACTCAGGCCCAACTGATCCAAAACATTCGTAATCTCATTGGCCACCCGGGCTGACGGACAGCCCTTTATGGTCGCAAACAGCTTCAGGTGCTCCTCGCAGGTCAGCTCATCATA